AGTATTCGCCAACCAAAGTGAAGATTGAGACCTTCAATTGACAACATGATAGATGGATCGAGGTGTCAGACTGGATCAGATGTCACGAGTACTCATCGAGATCTCCAAGGATGTGAGATCTCAAGGTTTAATCGGTGATTAAACGCTAGAATTGGCAGGCACAGGTTGTAATCATTGGGATATTAGAAAGCGATAAGGATTGGAAATCCTTCAATTTTTGCGAGCAGTAAAGACTTAGTCGAATTTAAGTGGGGGAGAGACTTTATATAAAGTTCTCCAAATTTGAGTTCTGGTTGCGCGGGGTGCAATCTCTTGGGCACCTTGTCAACCATAAGGGTATTCTAGTTCATCCGGCCAAGATAGAGGCTGTGATGCAGTGGGAGATTCCGAGGTCTCCATCCGAGATTTGGAATTCCTGGGTCTAGCAGGTTATTACCAGAGATTTACATGGTACTTCTCTGAGATTGTGGTTCCTTTGACCCGACTGACCAAGAAATCGGTGCCCTTTTGTTGGGGGCCTGAGCAACAGGCAGCCTTCGAGACTCTCAGATAACGGTTGTGCGAGGCACTTATTCTCACCATGCCAAAGGTTTTAGATGATTTCTTGGGTTACTTTGACGCTTTGATCATGGGCATGGGTGTGGTACAGATACAGTGGGGTCACGTGATAGCAAGTTTCGGGAACTAGGTTAGAGTTCCGGTTAGTATTCGAGCTTAGTTGCGTGTTAGGTCGAGTGCGTGTTCGACTGGTATGGAAAGTGTTGTAAGACTACGAGGGTAGCCGTAGCATTCACTAGCAGTCAGATAGTATGGAAAGTATTGTAAGACTACGGGGGTAGCCGTAGCATTCACTAGCAGTCAGATAGTATGGAAGTGATGTAAGACTACGGGGGTAGCCGTAGCATTCACTAGTGGTCAACTAGCATGGGAGGTGTTGTAAGTATGCGAGTGTAGCCGTAGCATTCACTAGGTTGGTAGATGGCATGAGCGTGTTGTTAGAACGCGGGACAAACAGTAGTACCCACCGGTTCGGGTGCAGCAGTGAGGATATGGAAATCCACATATTGGATTTCGGTATTACCCAAAGGGATTAGATCTGGTTGAGCCAGTGATAAGACTGTAGGAAAACCACTATAATTATGAGATCAGGGAAGTAAAGGACTGCGTAAAGGTGTTGGTGATGTAAGGCTACCATTGGTTAGGTAGCGATAACTTTTAGTGTTGGATTGGATGATGACAGGATGCGATGCATAGACCCTATCAATTAGATCAAGAGGTTGTTATAACCAAAGTGGCATGATAACTAGTCACAACTAGTTTCAGAGAAGGATCACGTTCAGAAGTCGTGCGATACGACTAAGTGGTACTCCATTGGCTCCGCAGCCGGGCAGGAACCCAATATTTCAGAGGATTGGCAACCGAATTGGGACCCAGGAGGCCTCGATAGCTTTTGGTAAGCAGCTATGTAGCAGCGTATACTACTTCAGGCAGTTCAGTGTTCGGGCAGTTTCAACGTTTGGTCAGTGATAGTATGTGTGTTTTAGTTGCATATGCGCACGGAATAGCTAGTTTATTGGGGAGTAAAAAGTCACCCACAGCGTGATTAGCTGAGCCTTGACCAAGTATGAGTGATGTGCATGGATATTTGGGTCTGTGGCCCTGTTTTATAGTGGGAACCGCGAGTAATCAGAAGTTAAGTGGTCAGTCATTGGATAGACGGACTGGGTTCAACGATAATGATTCAGTATGAGTGGTTTGTCAGGGATTTGGACCATCTCGAGATAGTAGATTTCGATGAAGTAGATGTGATCCTATTGCAAGGAATTCATTCACCTGAGGATATTAGGGCTTGCGAAGATTTGGTCACAGCTACCCGGGAGGGCTAGGGTGTGCCCAGAATGGTGACCATGTTGCTGAGTGGTTGGCGCATGAGAAATGGTAAGGAATGATTTCGAGGATGAAATCTAATTTAAGTAGGGGAGAGTTGTAATACCCCGTTTATTTATTTAACAAATAAGTACAGTAATAAATACAAAATAGCCCTAAAAGTGGAATAGTGTGGCAAGAAGTTAGTTACGGGGGTTAAAAAGTCATAATTGAAAGTTTAAGGGGCTAAAATACCATTATCGGGATTTAATTTGAATAGATTTTGGGAAACAAGGGCGAAATGGTAAATTCCAGATTCAATTTGCAAAGTTTTCTAAGGGCAGGGACTAGTCGGTAAGTTTTGGGATTTATTATGGAAAGATTTATGGAAAGAGGGGCTGATTAGTAAAGTATGGGACTTAACTTGTAAGGGATTTCCAGGATTGGGGTTGAAATGGTAAAATAAGGACCGAGTTGGAAAAGAGATTAAGAAGGAGGGATTGTTTATGTTGTTATGGCATAATGTTTAGTTGCCTCGGGTATAAAACCTAGCTTCACCAGTTAGCAAACCCTAAACCCTCCTTATGTGGAGCCGTCACCCCACCTCCCTCCAGCCGTCACCCCTCCTTCTATCACCTCTGGTGTTGCCTTCGTAACACTCCAGTGAGCCAAGAGCTACTGTCATCACGACTCCGACAAAGGGATCGAAGCTCGACATTGGGGTTGATGTCGTTTTCTCAACCGTCACCGCAGATGACGAAGTCAGAGGCCACTGTCCTTGTCGTTTGGTTATTCCTCCACTGCTCCCGGCGACGGATCTCCTCTCCTCTCCGCTCCATTCTGTGTTGCTACTACGCCGCCACTGCCGCTCCAGCCGTTCTTCCGATGCCTCCATGTCGTCCAAGCGTCGCATACCGTCGTGTATGGACAGATGTGAGTGGGATCCAATGTTTGTATGTGTGTGTTTCGCTAGTGAGGTCTAGAGGATCGTTTCATGGTCGAAGATTGGGAGAAAACCCCTCCGCCACCACCATGAGGTGGTGGCTGTTATGGTAAGATATTGATATCGCCGTCGTGCGCCACCGGAAAAGGTGGCTGGAGGCTTGAAAAACGAAGCATGGGTGGGTGTGGTTGTAGTTACATTAGTAGCAGGTGTGTTTGGGTGTTTTGCTTAGTTGGAATTTACGAGAAAAGCCACCACAGCCACCACTTAGCACCGTCAGCAACCAAGGTGGTTATGTGTGTGTGTATGTTTAGCCTAGTTAGTGGGCGTGTTACTTTGGTATTTTCATTGTAATTGTAACCAAAAAAATTGAATAATGAAAGGAACTTGAAAACCACCACCTTAGGGTGGTGGTTGCCGCCTCTTTCCACAATCGGCCACCGCATCGGGTGGCGGTGTGCTTATCTTGTGATTGATTCGTTTCGGGTGCTAGAAACCCTAATGGGTCCAATGAAGCCTAATGGGCTTAGTGAAAACCCTAATGGGTCTAATGGACTCAAATTGGCCCAATGCAAACCCTAATGGACTTAATGATATTCTAGTGGGCCTAATAGGACTAATAAAGCCCTAATTGTCATAAAAGGCCAACAAATTGATAAATGGGCTAATATTTGGATTGGAACACCTTAATGCCAATGAAAACCTAACTTTAAGAATTAATCGGGTCACACACATGAGAATTATTTAATAACTTGAGATATTAAATAATAATCATTCGCAAAGATTAATCTAAGCAATATTGGACTTAATGGATTAAGTCCTTAATGGATTAAGTCCTTAATGGGTTAAGTAGGAAACTTAACCCTAATAATCATTTTATGTGAAACCCTAATTTCACTTGGGTTTATTGTTGGGGATTTCTTTTGGGCCTTGATGATTGGATTATTAATGGGTCATCCAAGAATAACCATACAGATTGAAATAATTTAATGGGCTTAGGGTAAGGCTCATGTAAGGGGTTGGGCCCAATTTGAAAAATTGGGCCATAGTTGGGCCCTAATGATTTTATGATGTTGCGCCTTAGAATAAGACCATGTATAGGCCTGGGCCCAATTTTGAAAATTAGGCCATATGTTGGGCTTTGATTTCCTAGTGGACTTTGGGCCTAAGGATTGGGCCTTAGGCTTGCATAAAGCCAACCTTGGGGTAATGTATTAATTATCCAAGTGAGTATGTATGACTATCTGTTGGGACCCAATTATTAATTGGGTGTTATTTTGGTGTTGACAGTTCGGGAATCTATCATCTAGCAGCTGGGGTGAAGTCTGCGGGACTTCAGCAATGTGGGGTTATGTCTACGGGACTTCAGCAGTGTGAGGTGAGTTACCTTCTAGTGGTGGTGGGTCTACGGCCACAATGTCGGTCCATCAGTAGGATTTGTATGATTAGATCATTGTCTCTGTGATATTCATCTAGGTTTGCTACTACCTGATATGTTATTTGCTAGTATGATATGATGTTATGTGCCACTGACAGTAGGGGAGATAGTCCCCTGATTACCAGTCGATAGGGCCAAAGGGGTAGTCATGCCCAGCCATACTAGATAGATTATGTGATATGTGTTATGCGGTAGTAGTAGGGGGTGAAATAGTCCCCAGTATCCGGTCGAGAGGACCGAAGGGGAGGCCAGCACCTAGATATGCTAGCCAGTATCCGGTCTAGAGGACCGAAGGGGAGGCCAGCACCCAAATATGCTAGCCAGTATCCGGTCGAGAGGACCGAAGGGGTAGGTCGGGCACCCAGATATGCCTGACAATATATGTATGTTATGTGATTATATGTTATGTGGTATGATGGGGGAACTCACTAAGCTTCGTGCTTACGGTTTACAGATTTGGTTTCAGGTACTTCGTGTCTAAAGGAAAGGAGTCGGCTTGATCGCAGCGCATCACACTATGGTTTTCCACACATGAGATCTTTGGGATTACACTCTGATATTGTTTTATGATAACATGTTTACATATTTCTATTTTGGTTTTGACATGACATGATATTACAAATGTTTATTATACTGTTGGTTTTATAATGACGTATTTAAGAAAAATGAAATTTTTGGCTTGTATTTTTGGGATGTTACAATCTATGTCATCGAGACAGCTTTCATGAAAGTGTTGAGGAGTAGGAATATCCTTCAACTGTCTTGTTGTAGGCCATCCTTCAACTGTCTTGTTGTAGGCCATAACATAATCTCCATTGGTTCGTCAGTTTCAGGGTCAAGAACTTCCTTGTCTCTTCTAATTAGAGATTTTGCAGTCTTCATTATTGGGAATTTGTCTTTGACTTGCTTCTCAAGAAAACGTTTGAAGTTGTAAGCACTAGGATTCTTAGAAGGATTGTGAAATGGGGCTTTAGAGAGTTCAGAGAGATCGACTTTCATCCAAGACCAGAAATCATGAATGTTGTTGTAGTACTCTGAGTTGCACGGATTTCTTTTAACTACCCACAATTTGAGCTCATGGTCGAACCCCCACATTTTAATACCACTTCGATCGCCAAACTGATCACCAAACTTTCTTTTCCCAAGATCAGTCACTGTGAGTTGAGGTTCATTAATTTTGCGACCCTTATTAGAGTTTTTCATGAAAAGCAACCCCTCCTTCTTTTCAGCAATGACCTTTTGTTGTCCGTGCTTGATGGTGATCCTTGGATTATCTTTCACGAGTTCTTGCTCAAATCGATCTATTATTTGTGTTTTTCTTGTAGGTGGTTGATCTACAAGATTTTCTTCTTCAAATGGTTGACTGGGAAAAGGAGGAACATCATAACCTGGCTGTTGAAATAGTGACTCAAACTTTTCACCAAAAGCTTCAAACAATCTGTTCTTCAGACTGAAGTAGAAGGCAATCAATGATCCAAGATGAGTTTAAAGCTCAGAAATCTGCTTAGACTTTAATGCCTTGTCTTCTTCAAGTTCAGCAATCCTAACACCATACTTTTTAATTATAATATCCTTCTCAATATTCTGCTGTTTTAGGATGCCAATTTCTTCTTTGAATGTGGACATGTCAGAATCATCATCCCATGAACGACCTTCCTCAATTGATATTCCGTTTCCATGTGAGGAAGGTTCTGAACTGAGTTGAGCCAAGCGCTTTGCAAGCATGATGGAGGATTCATCGAGCATAGGCCTGGTGGGGGAGTATTTTGGGATATCAGATGACCCGCCCATTTCAAACGTTGTTCTTGGGCCTTCATCAATAGATACATTTGGTGCATCAACTGTTGTGGTGGTGATTATGGAAAAAGTTGGTGGTACTTGATCTTGAATGAACACTCCCTGCCTCGGATCTAATCTTCTTCTTTTAATAGGAGACAGAGAGGTCTGTGTCTGTGTTGGATCACTATAAGATGGAGTAGAAGAAGGAATAGCAAAATCAAGGGGAGGAATCCCTGATGTTGCATCCTTTTGGCTTGAAGTTTCATCCATCATTTTTAATGTAGGAGGAAAAGTTTCGAGAGTCTCATAAGCAACCCTCTTCTTAGTTGCTGATTGAGCAACATCTTCATTGACTTTTGTAAAGAACCTATCAACGAAATCCGGACGTGGACCGAAATCATCATCATCAAAACCAAGGTTAATTGGGATATCTTCATTGTTGAGTCCAGAAAAATCCAAATCATCTAGAAAGGTATCATCTCCATCATTTTCTTCATCATCACCCTCCATATCAAAGTTACTTTAAACCTCCACGTTTTGCAGTTGGTCATGCTCCTCTACCACGATTGCGACAGGGGAAACACGACAATCTTCGTTTTCATGTTCTGAAGCGGAGATAACAACATCCTCGATTTCTATGGGGCTAGAAAGATTGTCTAATTCAGATTGGTCGCTTTCTTCAGTAAAAAAAAAATCCAAACTTGATCAGTGAATCTTTCCTTTCAAAATTTAACTTTCCTGGTCGAATTTGCTTCATCAATCCAAAAGCACTTGATCCAACAGACTTGAGATCCAAGGTCTCTCCTCTTCTTTCAATTTCAGGATGCATAACATTGAAGATGAGCTGAAGGAATCTTGGGTACATGAAGAAATTATCCCTTTTGTTTCCTTCAATGTTCAGAATCATCTCGTGCAGAATAAACTTTGAAAAGTTGAACTCTGTTCCTGAAGCTAGGGCAGCAATGGCACCAGTGTTGATGAAGGAGGTTTCATTAGGTTCTGATCTCCAGCCAAAGACACAGCCCACAAATACATGAGCTAAATATCTCCAGCACGGTGGTAATAACTTCTTGATAGTGGGAGGGAAAACTCCTTCATATCCGATTTGATCTAGAATCTCTTGAGTCTAGTCTAGATTAATCTCTTTTGGGAATTCATACTTTTCATCGATATGCAAGGTATCTCGAATAATCTGCTCGGTAACCATGATTTTCTTTCTTTGAACAGAAGCCTTAAGGAATTTTGTACCCTTATTATCCTTTTTCACAGTTGCGTTGCTCCAGAATTCCTTAATCAACTGTTGATAGATGATTGGACTGGTGGTAAGAGCAGTGAACAAGCAACATCTTCTTAAACCATTGACTATGATTTGAAGTCGGAGTGAGCTTCCGGGGGATCAGCTAGGTAAACGGCTGAGTTGTGAACCTTAGCAAATTCAAGTCCTGCCATATTGAGCTACACCAAACAAGCTAGGTGAGATAAACATAAAAGATTTATCAATAAGCATCAGTTATTTTCCAATTAATCAGTTAAATAAATTTTAATTTTAAGCAAAATGGAGTGTACAGCCATACAAGAAATGTCCAGCCGTACACGGGGTCTGCAGCCATACACGGGTGTGTGGCCGTACATGCTCCATCGATGCTGGAAATCGTTTTTCCTTCAATAGGCAACTGATTCTTAGTTGATTTAGTACAATATCATCATAAAAAGAGTCGACTAGATGATACCTACACAAATGATTGTTCAATTTCAAGAAAAATCGAGATTTTTGAAATTTCGAGAGAGAGGAGAGAGCGCTTGGGTGTGTGGCCGTACTCAGAGGAATGGAAAGAAAAGGAGTGTCCGGCCACACACTCACCTTATATACCTCCTCTCAACCCAGTCCAACTAGAATGGGCTACAACTCAAAAAGCCTTGAACACAAGCCCAACAACCCAATAGATATTAAAAATAATACATTTCAAGGACATAAAAATAAAAATAAAATAAAATAAAATAAAGCAAATTTGAAAATAAAAATAAAAATGATTAACATTAAAATCACTTTAACTAATGCTAATAACTATTTTGTGATATTGGGATCAAAGTTGTTAGACTGCCTTAATCCACTTATCAGTACCTCACCCTTTGTGAATAGATCTAGTCAATCGCCGGTATTGTGGTCCAATTAAGCACGAAAGATTTTGACAAATTTAGCACATACTATAAATGACAAGACATTTTGTGACCTTATATACATATATGAAATTCCTAAATACCATTCATCTGATGACAACCAAGGATATTGTTGTCCACCTAAATTGAGCAGCGAGATCTAAAGACAACCTATTAACTGTTCATTTTTAGTTGTACTAGAACGTGTTTCCCGCTTCTTAATATACCCCAATAATCAGGAACTTCCAAAATACTCCTTACTTTAGATGAGTAGACAATTATTATGGGAGAAGACAAATTTAGAGTGCATATGTTGTGCACCCAGGTCGGGTCTCTTCCAATCACGGAGAGGGTGACACATATGACTGATTAGAGTTTCAGAGGGATTAAGAAGTAGAATGGTGCATATTCTATGTACCAGGTCGGATTATGAGCCATACAGAGGAGACAACATATGGCTAACAGACAGAAAGAATTTCATAGGTAGAAGATGCAGAGAGATGGGGTTGCATATGTTGCTTTCCAGGCCGGATCTCTTCCAATCAGCAGAGGAAGTAACATATGGCTAACACTAAGAGAGAAATAAAATAACTTTCTACATACCTAATTTATCGAAATTCCCCAGTCGCCCCATCAATACCGGAATTAAGGACAAAGTCCGTACATCAAGGAAAAGTTAAACCACAGTTCTAGATATAGATTAGTTAATGTATCTGCAGATTCTCATGTATATCTCTCTGCTCAACCTACCCAAGATTCGTATAGTCAGGCTAAATGGAACTATCTAGGTCAAGATTTGTCAAGTCTCTAGATTCCTTAAGTTCATCTGATCCTAGTCAAGTCCATTTTAAATTTCTCGTGCCTACCAGCGCATCGAACACAGAGCCTACACAATCAATTTTGGTACCTTACACAAATCAAAAATTGCTTGTTATCACATGTTGATATCACTTCCCATAATACCTACAAACAAAAACTATCAGCAACATATTTTTGATTTTCTGATTTTTCAATGTTTTTGGATTTTCATATAATACCTACAAATAAAAACTATCAGCAACATATTTTTGATTTTCTGATTTTTGATTTTTGTTTATTTCTCCCCCAAATTTGTGCATGGGTGAGAATGAAAATAACATGTGCAAATTAAAACTAACTTAAAACAAAAATTAGTCCACAAAGCATATCATTTTCAAAAAGCTGACAAGCACATCGAATTGAGCTTTGTTAAACGGCTTTGTGAACAGATCCGCCACATTATTAGCAGTGGGAACTTGTTCCAGCCGAATGAGAAAATGCTCATAACAATCTCTGATGAAATGAAATTTGATGTCAATGTGCTTGGTTTTTGAATGTTGGACTGGATTTTTAGCAATTTGAATTGTAGCCTCATTACCACAAAATATAGGGGTTTCTAGATAATTCAAACAGTAATCCAACAACTAATGTTGGATCCATATAACTTGAGAACAACAGGCAAAACCAACTACATATTCGGCCTCTACCATTGAGGTTGAGACGGTATGTTGTTTCTTACACTGCCATGACACTAGGCAATCACCAAGAAACTGACACCCTCCAACATTTGATTTACTGTCAAGCTCACAGCCTTCGTAATTACTGTTAGCAAAAGAATATAAATCAAATTCAAAGTTTTTCGGATACCAAAGACCAAATTTTGGGCTGCCTTTGAGATACCGAAAGATTCTTTTGACAGCAATAAGATATGGAAGTTTAGGATTAGCCTGATAACATGCGCATTGACAAACTGCAAACATGATATCTAGTTTGCTTGCAGTTAGATACATCAACGAGCTGATCATTGATCTCTAGTGAGTTTGATTTATGGATTTGCCATAAGTATCCGGAGTTAACAAGGTTCTCTCGGTCATCGGCGTCAGGAAGGTTTTGATGGGATTTGAGCAATACATCAACCTATGGTGTACATGCAAACCCTAATAGCTTTGGATCTAGTTTGTCTAATGAACATGCAATTGATTATCCAAATCCATAAACGCTATATCTAATAAACTATAACTGAAATTAGGGTTTAGATCTTACCTTTGATTGTTATATAGCAATAAAATCAATCCTTGGCTTCAGAAAGCTTAGTGCCTCAAGTGTTGCACCTCTAATGGAGTCACAAACACCACTAAGCAACTTGGATGAAGAGGGGAGACACCAAAAACAGATGGAAACCCTAAAGAAAGTGTTAGCCATGCTTTTGGTGCTTAAGGGATCCTTATATACTTAGGCTATTAGGGTTA